TGGTCTTTATGAACAAGTTTCCCGGACTTTTATTCACTGTTTGGGTGTGAGGGCCCTTGCCTCCCTGTAGAGCACTTCCTGGCTCCTAGCTTTAGCAAGCCCCTCCCCTGCGGTTTCTAGATCTCCGGGAAGTTGGTCCCCTGTTTCCCTTCCATTCTTTCAGGAAGGTTAAAGATCATTTTGAAGAATGGATTCAGAGAAAAACCAAGAAGGATGCAAATCTTCTCAGCCCCTGGTGGTGGGGGAGGGCTTTGGCCATCCCCCCCCCTCGCCCCGCCCCCAAGCCAGACTTCTCCTTGACAGATTCAGAATGGTTGCTGGTCCCAGTGTCCTAAAGCTTCCCGCTAACCTCTTGTTCCCAAAGAGGAGCCCCACCTCCTCAGAACAAGGGGCTGGCCTATGCTATTTCTGTCCTTTCTGGGATTCTTCTGACAACAGATTCTTGTTTTCAGTCTGATTCAGATGTGAAACTTTTCCTGAGGCCTCTCACCAGATTCCTGTAGGCTGGGTCTCTGCCTCATCACTCCTTTCTCCTACTTTAGCCAGGCTCCTTCAAAATTCTCCTCCCCAAAGTGCTTTCTGGTCAGATGTTGAGTTCTGGGATTTGTAGGAGGAAGCTGGGGGCTCAAGAGGGAGTTGTTTCCCTTGCCCCAGGTCCCTAGGTCCCGGTGTTTTGATTCTCTGGAGTGGAAATCTTTGGTTCTCATGGCCAATCCTGTTCCTGTTCAGAGGAGCCATCTGCAGGGCCCCATTCTCAGGTAGGTGATAGGAGGTGAGAAGAGGGGAGGAAGAGTGCTCATGGATGGATCCACCAATTGAAGTTTAGTGGAGGGGAGGGATCAGGACTTGACTGTCCCCCCTGTGGTGTGTGCACATGTGTGTGCCTGTGCACTTTTTACTCCACCCACCTTGCCTTTACCTTATTCTCCTTCTGTTTCCATTTCTTTTTGTCACTTTCTCTTGACTATGGTAGGTAACTTAGCAGAGGTTCCCCTCTTTCTCTCCTTCCTGATCTCCAGCATCTTTAGAATTTTACATCCCTTTGAAATTTCTTTATCTTTCTTAAGAACTCAAACTAGAAATAGAATTCTTCTTATGCCAAGCTCCCTTGGCCTGGGGTTGTTTTAGCCTAAATACCCTACTTACACTCATCTTTTTTAGAGGATGGGTGCTGAAAGTAGTGGTGAGAGACTTTGGAAACCTCCAGAACATCAGCCATGAGGTGGTGTGGAGAAATGAGCTGGGGGGGGGGGGCTGGGAAAACTGGGCTTTCTGTGGTGTTAGTGATAGACCTTTCTTCCAAGTGGCTTCTAAAGCTAGGAGAGCCTTGGGCTTTTCAGGAGTGGAGATCTGGGGCTTTTCCAATCGCTTGAGGACTGAAGGTAAAGGAGAAGGAGGTGGCAGTGATCAGGCAGTGGTAAAGGATGGAAATAGAAGCAGTGTTGGGAGAAGGTTCCAGTTTTCCATGGGGCTGGCTGAGGATGATACTGTGCTCTTCTACAGGAAAAGGGCCATCCCTCTCTGGTTGGTGCTCTGAGGGCTGAGCTAGAGGACTGCATTCAAACTGATATGGGTAGGAGAAAGCCTTTCTGTAGAACAGTGAGGTGTGGGCTGTGGCTGAGATTGAGGAGATCCTAACTGGGTTTTGAAATAAGAGGCCCAGCTAGCCAGCAAGTATTGTGTATGTGTTTATTTGACGTTAGGAGGGTGCAGTTCAGCATCTGTGTCCTTTCAACTGCTTGAGTCAGGCTTCTGTTCTTGGACTTCGTCAAATTTATTCTTTAATCTTCCCTTTCCTCTTTATCCTTCTAGCCTTCTAGCATCCAGATGTTTGTTTCAGATGTCAGCAGAAGCTATACAAGAGCTCCTGGATGAGATCTAGAAGCAAGAGAAAGAGGAGCTTGGAGTTTAAGTGGAAGGAGTGATGTTTTCCAAGTCAATCTATGATTTCATTCTTCTTCCAGGGGCACTATTGGTGTCCCAGAAGTTGTGGCTTGGGAGTGTCAGTTGCAAGCTCTGGGAGATGGACTCCCACCTGAGGAATCTGCCCCATTTTCCTGTTTCTTAATTGATGAGTGCTCACTGAGCATACACTACTGCTCTGTGTATGGACGCCAAGGTACCAGCAGTTAGGTCAGTTGTCCAGGGGCTTATCATCTCTCAAGGTTGGACTGGCTGAGGCTGAAGGAGCTGGAGGAATGCTTTCTGCCCCTGTCCACATGATTAGAATAGTCCTGCTCTGACAACTTCATTGTGTGGCAATATAGGTGGATCCCATTAGTGTGAGCTGTAGGCCTGACCAAGCTGACTGAGATTGATAAGACTGACAAATCATTTGACGTTTGACAAGTTATTTAGCCACCTTTGTAAGGTTATGGAAGAATCAAATTGTATAGGGGAGATCCTAATCATCATAATTCTTTTATCTCTTTCATTAGAAGGCTTTGTCTTCTCCAGGTGGATTTAGAATGCTAGAATAGGCAGGTGCTTGGTGGGTTTGAAGGGAGCATGGTGTGAGCTGGGTTAGGTCAGTATAATGCTAGTCACTTTCCTATTCAAATCAGATTTATGGAGACCTTTTGCATGTGTCAGGCCTTTGGCATATATTATTTCATTTAATTCTCTTAATAGCCTTTTGAGAATGGTTTATTATCATCTTCATCATTTCATAGACAAGGAGATTGACACTCTAAAAGCCCTCAAACTCTGCATTAGAATGCATTAGAATCATCTGGGTTGTTTAAGATTACCATCTCCCTGGAGCATCTTCTCAGAAATCCTGGTCCAGGGAGGACTAGAATCTAATGTTTAACATGTCCCAAAGGCAGTTCTGATTTTGGGAGTCTCCAGGCCACATTTTAATAAATACTTACTAAGACTTAGTGACTTGCCCAAGGGCTCACAGCAGAAATTGATAGCTTTGAATTTACGGTTCCAGTCTTCTAGATTTCGCTGCTCTGTACACTTTGCTGAAAGTGCCTCTGTAGCTGAGTTTTGCATTGGAAATGGAGTTAGCATTTCTTTCTCTACATCCCTCCCTCACAGGCCCATTGTGAGGATAAAATGAGATAATGTAGGAGAAAACACTTTTTAAAATGTAGAGCTGGCAGCATGGTTAGAGATTATGCAAATGTATGCAAATAGGGACCCGTGGGTGTGGCTGTTCACTTGGGAGCCAGTGCTGGATTTGTGTTTCAAGTGATGGATCTAGAAAGAAATTGGGAGAACTGTGGTCGACCTTGACCCCTGGGGACAGAGTTTTTGGTTGTAAAGGGTTGATTTAAGTAGGAGGTTAAGGTAGGGGTGGAAATTAGGGTCAGAGAAAACCACAGACAGAAGTAAAGGCCTTCCTTTTTGGGTTGTGTGTCCCTATCTTCCAGGACTCTGGTCCTTAGGAATGACTGCTGTAGAAGAGGGAAGCCCTGGCTTGTGCCTTGGTCCCAGAAGCAGAGTATACCCCTTTGTTCTGTGATCTCTAGTGTATTCTGGAAGGTACTGGCTGGCAGCCCCTTTCTAGCTCATTTAGCAGGAAAAGCCTTTTGTGATGTCTAGTCTCCCTCCCTCTGTCCTCCTCCCTACTGCAAGTGGAGCTGGGGCTGAGCTTGGTAAACCTGCTCTCCCTCTCATTAAGCAACCCGCTGTTTCCACTTGGAAACAGTGCAGCGGGGAGGCTGGAAGTGAGATTTGAAGATAGCCCACCGGCAGAGGCTGCGGTGCCCTGTCGGACTCCTTACCCTCCCATTTTTACCTTTCCCTTCTGCCTCATTTGCTTTCAGACATGTTGGCCAGGACTGCTGGGCCTTGAAGTGAGAGTGGCCAGTGATTACTTCCTGGGCTGGCTATTTCGGGCTTCCCTGTTTCAAAGCTGCTGGGACCCCAGGATTCTAAAGCTGCTTCTGTTCAGGAATGTTATTGTCCTTGCTCCCTGTCCCAATCCCTGGAAATTGATGCTAATTTCAGCCTCTGGTCCCTGACTCATGCTCTTCTTTCTGACTCATAAGGTGACCTTGGGTGTTTTGAAGCCCCTCTTAGTGGGAATTGCAATGGTTACCATTTCACTCTAGTGTTGTTTTAGATGGAGTGGGGCAGGGCTAAAGAGAGGAAGGAATGTTTAATTTCTTTCTTTAAAGCCACCATCTAAAGCTAGGGAGCCTTGTTTGCTTTGTTACTGCCTGGGCTGGACTTGCCAGACTTGTGAGGAGCCTCTCAGCTGGTCATTGGCCTCAGAATTCATGAGGGCCAATCACAAGGGGATCATCCCTTTCAACAAAGCATCTAGTCAGTGAGGTCCCTGGCTCTACCAGATCACTTTTTCCATGGGAGATGCTTTGGCTGGGCCAGGGTGGGCATAATTATCTGTTTATGATTCTCTTAGACACCTGACTGGGGAGACAGGGGTTAACCCAGCTTTGTCCTGGTTGACAGATTCTGGAATCATAATCCATTAGCTCTGCCTGTGTGGAGTGAGGCCAGGCAAATCGTTCAGATGGGTCTTTGTTCTGTGCTGTTTGCCATCCTTGCTAGGGACAGAGGGGCTGCGTACATGTTCCTTTCTTCCTTGTCTTGACCAAGAGACAATGAAAGAATCCTGGGGATATTTTGATTACTCTCCAAAGCCCTCTTTTCTAGGGGAAATGAGAAATTTCAGCTCTTAGTTATTCATATATGAAAGAAATCATCCCAAAAGCATCATCCCAGGGAATTGTATCTGCCTAATTCTGCTCAGCCCAGACAGGCAGTTTAAACAAGAGTTTGTAGAAAATACTGGCTGGAGGGGTGGAGACAGAGTCAAAGAAGTCTGAAATTAAAGTTTGGGAGTAGATATATTTAATACTGGCAGTGGTCATGGCCCAGGATGAAAAACATTACCTGGTGTTATCATTAATTTTAGAATTATTAACAATTTGTGGCAGGCAGAAGGTGTTGCTATAAAATGTACCCTATAAGAAGGTTCTATGATGAGGTAGCAGTGTCTAAGCAGGACATCTTACACCCTGCAGGCTGCGCTACATGGTGAAGCAGTTGGAGAATGGAGAGGTAAACATTGAGGAGCTGAAGAAAAACCTGGAGTACACAGCTTCCCTGCTGGAGGCCGTCTACATCGATGAGACACGGTGAGGAAGACCAAACCCAAGAAGAAGTATCAGACGGGTGCAGTGTTCAGGGTGGGGAAGTAAGATGGAAAGCGGAGGTGAGGGTGAGTGAAAAAGACAGTCAAGAAGATAGAGATGGAGGGACACACAGAGCTAGTAGCGGAGATAAAGAGAAGAAGAGGCAGGGACGCAGAGGGAGAGACAAACACTGGTAACAAAAAGGGGCATAGCTCAGTGGGAGAGCACTTTCCTAGTATTTATGGGATGCCAGTTTCAGCCCCTGGCACCAGAAAATGAGAGGGAGGGAGGGAGAAAAGGAAAGATGGGAAGACAGTTTCAGGCTCATCTAGTCTTCGCCCTTCATGTGTGGAATACCTCTGTGCTGCTCAGTATGAGAGCCACCAATTACATAGCACCGCTGAGCGCTGGAAATGTGGTGAGGATGAATTAAAATGTGTAAGTAGATTACATGGTGGATTCCCAAGTCTTAGAAAGTGGAATGTAAAATATGCATTAATATCTTTATATAGATTTGCATTGAAATAATATTTTGAAGGTATTAGTTTAAATAAAATTTATCGTAAAACAAGTTTCACATTTTTAAACCTTTTTTTATCTTTCTGAATGTAGCTACTAGAAAATTTATTTTTTTTATTTTTTTTTTTGTCTTTTTTCTTTTTATCGGTACCGGGGATCGAACTCACGACTGCCTGCTTGCAAGGCAGGCACTTATGCCACTGAGCTAGATCCCCAGCCCCCGCTACTAGAAAATTTAAAATTTCATGTGTGTGGTTTAATAGAAATAATTATTTCTATTGGACTGCTCTGTAGCATCCACAGCAAACGATACTCCTTTGCTTTCGTGAACACTTTCATAGTCAGGGTGCTTATTGCTTCATATAAGTGAGCTATGTCATCATTGGAATCGTTAGATAGTAATACAGAAATACAAAGAAAGAGCAAGAGAAAGGAGAGGGAGAACCTGAGACCTAGAGCTGGCTTGAGAGTCACTAGGTAAGTGTGGTGTGGCTGGGAACAGGGCCTCTACGGTGTGGGAGCACTCGCTGTCTTTCCCTTGTGACTCCCCTTCTGGACCTCAGGCAAATCTTGGACACAGAGGATGAGCTCCAGGAGCTGCGATCAGATGCCGTGCCTTCAGAGGTGCGGGACTGGCTGGCCTCCACTTTCACCCAGCAAACTCGAGCCAAAGGCCGCCGAGCAGAGGAGAAGCCCAAGTTCCGAAGCATCGTGCATGCTGTGCAGGCCGGGATCTTTGTGGAACGGTGAGGTTTGCGTGCATTCAGCCTCCCTTTTCTTTTTGCTGTGCTCCCTCTTTCGCTGGCGTGCTGGTCTTTCATGATCCCACATGTCTGCAGTGCGTCTTTGTTGCTCTGTTTGCTCCCTGTTGCTCCAGACCCTGCTACCCAGGACTTTACACCTGGCTTCTTTGCATTCTTCTCTCTTAGGATGTTCCGGAGAACGTATACCTCTGTCGGCCCCACCTATTCCACTGCAGTCCACAACTGTCTGAAGGTGATGCTTGGGTTTTTGGAAAAGAGGTGAAATTTGGAGTTGGAATAGCCACCGGGGACTTCCAGACGCTGTTTGTGGTGTGATTTTTACCTTCCTTTTAACTGTGTTCTTGTGTTCCTCAGAACAGCTTTGCCCACTCTGTGGGAAAACCCGTCTTCTTATCTTTCCCATACTGAGAGACATTTGGGCAGAAAGAGGCCTACTTCACCACCTCTTTGTTGTCCTGCTTCCCAATTTCTGTAATCATTGGAAAGTCCTTCTTGAAATCTAACTTCATTGTTTCTCCACAGAACCTGGATCTCTGGTGCTTTGATGTCTTTTCCTTGAACCGGGCAGCAGATGACCATGCCCTGAAGACCATTGTTTTTGAGTTGCTGACTCGACATAACCTCATCAGCCGATTCAAGGTTGGACAGCATCCCACCTCTGCCTCCAGGAAGGAGTCCTCATTTCTCTCATTTCTGTTCTAAAACAGTCACAACATGTAGATTCCATGGATCAGTCAGTCTTGGCATCAAAAGCCTCCCTAAGTCTATCCCAACTCAGTCTTCCTGGCACTTGCTGCAGTTCCAGCCTCTGACCTTATTGATTAAAGAAGGATTCTGGTCCCAACATGTTTAGCTTGAGATTCTGTTCCTCCCCTTTGACTCCCCTGACCCGACTTGTTTGCTACTGCTGGTCTTAGTTCACTCTCCCTTTCAGCTCCTCTCTGGGGACTCTGGAGGCCTAGAGTCCGGATGCTGTCAGCAAGTGCCCTTTGGGACGAGAGTCTCCACTTAATTCCTAACACTAGAAAGGGAGACAGAACTGGTCACTCCCTTGCCTGTGACCCTGCTCTTGGCAGGGCTGGGGTGGGGCTGTGTGCAGCGGAGAGTGGATGCGTTCCATGTGCTCTTTAGCTTGGCTGTCCAGGAAGAGTACTGTGGGATGCAAGGCTTCTCTAGAACCTGCACTAGGAGGGAATCTCTTTTGGGAGGGAATAAAGGCCAGGAAAAAACACTTCCACATAGAAAAACTATATTTAGAAGTGAGGAGGAAGGGGTTTAAGAGTTGCCGTGGGTTACTTGGTTGGCACTTAGGCTGGACATTAGAGGTGAGGGAAACATGTTCTGAGTGGCCATGGAGGAAGGCAGTTAGGTGAAGGGCTCTCTCCCAGCTGGGTGCTGGAAAGTCATTGCTTCACTGTGACAGACTGTTCATCTGTGTGAGCCTTTCTTTGATGTTTGACCACCTCCTTTCCCAACTATTCCAGAGTTTCCAAAACTTTCCTGAGGTGCTCTGCTGAGATTTTCTTCAGTGAGTTTCTGAGGCCAGTCCTTTTGCTGTTTTGTTGTCTTCCTCCCAATACTGCTCTCCCTAGGGCAGAGACTAGCAGAGTCTTCTTCCCATACTGGTGTCCACGCTGGTTCTTAAGAGTACTCTAAATGCCAGCTTCTCCCAAACACTGCCTTCTTACTTCTCAGGAAGGTTTGGGTTAGGCAGATCCAGGTGTAGCTGCCCTGGGCTGGCTCCCAGGCAGTCAGAGAGGGGAGTTGCTTGTGGCTTTCCAGCCAGACTTACCCTTCTTCAGCTCTACATTCTCTCCTGGGCACCCAGCCCCTCCCTGCTCCACCCTTTCCCTTTCCTTCCCCCAGGGACACCATGGCAACGCAAAAGCAAGGGCAGTTGCCATGGAAACAGTCCTGTAAAATCCCTGAATTTGGGGCACAGCCCTCCAGGGGTAGGGATGGGGGGAAGATAGGGTCTGATTGGTGGCACGTCTTCTATGTCTCTGTTACTCTATAGCTCATTCTTACAGAGGCTTTCCCAAGTCCTCAGTCCTTTTCCAGTCTCAGGAGTCCAGGGACAGTTGACACCACCCCTGCCCTCTGGGAGCCTGGAGCCTTTTGAAAGACTTACAGAAACTCAAGCAACATCTATAGATGGACAGAATCCAGAGAGGCTAGATAGAGCTCTGGCTTCTGTGTGTGTGTGTGTGTGTGTGTGTGTGTGCGGCGGTACAGGTGTCTGTGTATGTGGAGGGGAGGTAGGCAGGAAAGGTTTCTCAGAGGAGCGAGTGACCTACTTCTGCTGGAAGGGGCCTCTCTCTGCACCCTTTGCCCTTCTCTCTGGTTTTGGATTTGGGGATGCAGTGGAGTGGTTGGAAGGTAGGAGGAGGGAAGCTTTATTTCCTTTCCTTAACAATCTTCAGGGGGCTGGAGGTTTAGCTCAGCGTCATAAGTACCTGCCTTGCAAGCAGGCAGTCATGAGTTCGATCATGAGTTCGATCCCCGGTACCGATAAAAAGGAAAAAGACCAAAAAAAAAAAAAAAAAAAAAATCTTCAGGGAAACAATAACTATAGCTACTCTTTGGAGACTACTTGCTAAGTGTCTTGTACTTATCTCATTAATTTCCAGGTAGGTGTTATAATCTTCATTCTACAAGTAAGTATCGGAGGTGAAGCAAGGCATGTGACTTGCACAAGGTCACACAGCCAGCAGCTGGCAGAGCTGGGATGTGAGCCCAGAGTCACCTGTGCAGAGCCCGTCCTCTCTCCCTGTGTGGTGCTGCCTCCTACAGGACAATGGGATTGCTGATCTTGGCTCTTTGCTTCCATTCTTGCAGATCCTCAGTATAGTTTGATTTTCTTTTGCCCACTGCAGATTCCCACTGTTTTTTTGATGTCATTACTGGAGGCTTTGGAGACAGGCTATGGGAAGTATAAGAATCCTTACCACAACCAGATCCACGCAGCTGATGTTACCCAGACAGTCCATTGCTTCCTGCTCCGCACAGGGATGGTGGTAGGTGCCCCTGGGACAACTCATATGATTCACTGTTCACAGCTTCAGAACTGGAAAGTCTAGGTTATGGTCTCAGTTCCATTTAAAAAAATTTTTTCCCTTCTCTCCCTTGTGCACTCCATCCCCCACTTTCCTTCTTTACTGGGGACTGAACACAAGGTTCTTGCATTAAGCTACATTAGCAGCTCTTTTTTTAAAAAAAATTTAAGACAGGATCTTGCTAAGTCACTGAGTTGCACGTGGGCTTGAGTTTTCGATCCTTTTGCTTGAGCCCTGCAGGATTCCAGGTGTGCTCTATCATGCCCAGTGTCCAGTTCCATGTTTCTCACTCTGGTTCTTCTTCGGCATCTGAAAGCCTTTACAGAGTCAAATTGTATTTGCTTATCCTAGAGAATTCTCAGGGTGTGATGAACTGCATGAATAGTGTTGGGGACATGTGCAGGGACGTAGTGAGTATGATGCAGGTTGGTCCCTTGACATTCTGGAAGCTGAGATCCTGGCTGCATTCACCCAAGAGCCGGCCTTGAAGAATGGAAGATGGGCTAAGTGGTCTAGCTGGTGTGGGGAGGTCTTCAGGGAGTGGCTGGCAGGGAGTCTGCCTTCGCTTATCCTATCTTTTTCCCCCAGCACTGCCTGTCGGAGATTGAGGTCTTGGCCATCATCTTTGCTGCAGCCATCCATGACTATGAGCACACAGGCACTACCAACAGCTTCCACATCCAGACCAAGTGAGGGGCAGGAGAGGCCAGCTGGAGGTGGGGGAGGGCCCCTGTCAGGGAGCTGGATCTGATGACCTTTGATTTTGCAGGTCAGAATGTGCCATCCTGTACAACGACCGTTCTGTGCTGGAAAATCACCACATTAGCTCTGTTTTCCGGATGATGCAGGATGATGAGATGAACATTTTCATCAACCTCACTAAGGATGAGTTTGTGTGAGCAGAAGCCAGAGCTCAGCATCCTTGAGAGACCCTTTATCACAGCCCTTTCTTCCACCTCCTGTGCTCCCTGTCCAGCAGTGCTGCAAGTGCCAAACGCTTCTCTTTTTCTGTCCATTCAGAGAGCTGCGGGCATTGGTCATTGAGATGGTATTGGCCACAGACATGTCCTGCCATTTCCAGCAAGTGAAGTCCATGAAGACAGCCTTGCAGCAGCTAGAGAGGTGGCATATGGTGGGGTGTGGCTGGGGCCAGGCCAGAGAGAGGGATGTACGGGGTAGTTGGTTGTCAGGATTTTACCTGAGTGTGGAGACTGCAGGCTCCGGGGGTCTCTCTGAGTATACCCCTGTGGAAGTGGTGTGGTGTATGTGAATGTGGCCTTGGGTTATGTACAGTCTGGGCAGCTGGTTGGCTGGGGGGCCCTGTGGGCTTAGACTCTGATATGGGGTTTCTTTCATTGCAACTTTAGGACAGGCTTACTCTGGAATGTTGGGAAATTCATTCAGCTCTTCCAGACTTCAGTGTCCTTATCTATGGCACAGTGAAAATGATATGCCTCCTTCCACAACTGCTTCCAATAGTTCCTACTCTAATAGGGTTGTTGGCGAGTCATGTGAGGTTAAAAAAAAAAAAGGACAGAACAAATACAGAACAAATGCCATAATTATATCTAAGGCCTCTTAGAAGTAGATGGAGTACATAAATGTGTATAAGAGCGAATGGGCTATGATTGTGTGTAACCTGAAGGTGTGTGTCAATCTCTGTGTATGGTGTCTGTATGTGCAGTGCCATGGCAGGGCGTTGTTGGGGGCATAACAGTAATGATTATCATTATAATCAGTATAATCAGTATTGTCATTTTAATCTAGTAAGCCCTTATTATGTGCCACTCTTCTCAATACTTATTTTGTTATATATCATTTAATTTCAGAACAACTCATTGTGTGTTAAGAGTTGTTATTTCTGATTTAGGGCGTAAGAAAATGAAACGGGTATTTTAAGCGACCTATGGTAGCTATGCTGAGGATTCAAACCTGTGCCCTCTGATTCTCAGAGCCTGGGTTCTCAGCTGTGGTAACCTGTGTTGCCACCTATGCTACCTACATGTGCATGTATGTGTCTGTGTGTCCAAGTGTGTGTCTCTGTCTGTGTCCCGGGAGGGCGTTTGAGGTTATGTGGAAGGATGCAGTTCCATGTATGTGGGTCTGAGAGAGGGCGTGTGATGCAAGGTTAGAGGCTGGCTCAGGTTTCCTTCTCCTAAAAGATCAGTTTCCTGCCCCAACCAGGATTGACAAGTCCAAGGCCCTGTCACTCTTGCTCCATGCTGCTGACATCAGCCACCCAACAAAGCAGTGGTCGGTCCATAGCCGCTGGACGAAGGCCCTCATGGAGGAATTCTTCCGCCAGGTAGTGTGGCATCTTTGTCCACCCCCTGCCCATGGGAGCCTTCTTGCCCCTTTTGCTCTTCAAGTTCCCCTCTGCCCCTACTCCAGAGTTTTAGTCATCTACCTTTTGATTCTGACCTGACCCCAGGCTCCCCAGTGCCATAACCAACCAATCCCCTATGCAAACAAAAAACATAAAACAAACAAAAGACAAAAAATATTAAAAAACCCACTTTATCCTCAAAGCTTAACCATGGCTCACACAGCATCATTACTCATCTCCTGGTCAAAGGCGCACAGCAGCCCACTGGTCGGTGGGTCTGAGGTGTCTTCTCTCTGCAGGGTGACAAGGAGGCAGAGCTTGGCCTGCCCTTTTCTCCACTCTGTGACCGCACTTCCACTCTGGTGGCCCAGTCCCAGATTGGTGAGTGTCCACTACAGGGAGGAGAGGAATGGGAAGGGGAAAGGATGCTGCCCGGTCTGGGCCTGGGCCAGGACTTCTCCTGACTCTGACCCACAGAACTTTTCCTGCAGAGGCAGCCTGCTGTGGCAGGGTGTGAGATCAGGCATTGGGAGGCCGGGGTCTCTGGGCGTACAGACACATTGTCCTAAAGTCTGTCCCCATTGAGAAGGTTGCAGCACAGGTTACTTTCCATGCATTCCATCTGCAGCCAGGGGCATGGCTATGCTAGCACTCTCCTCATCCAGTCCCTCTCCCACATAAGACATCTCCTCTGCAGGTTTCATTGACTTCATTGTGGAGCCCACATTCTCTGTGCTGACTGATGTGGCAGAGAAGAGCGTCCAGCCCCTGGCGGATGAGGACTCCAAGACCAAGAACCAGCCCAGGTAAGGTGGCAGAGGAGCCGGGTGTCCTAGTTCCAGAGAGGGATGGTAGACTCACAGAGAGGATAGGTTCCCAGAAGAGGTGCAGCTGTGGCAGGGTGGTGGGAGGCAGGCTGCTCCAAACTTGGGTGCCCCTCTGCTGTTTGTCACAGTCAGAGTGGAAGGATGGGACCAGAAGGGCAGGACTGCTCCATGATCCCCACCACATTTTACAGGCACGGTGGTGTACGCCTGTAATCTTAGCACTGAGGCAGAAGGATCATAGGTTTCAGTCCTGGACAATTCAGTGTGACCCTGTCTCAAAAAAAAAAAAAAAAAAAAAAAAAAAAAAAAAAAAATAGATGGGGAAGGGTGGAGGATTTAGCTCAGTGGCATAAGCACCTGCCTGGCAAGAACAAGGTTGTAAGTTCAATCCTTGGTACCAAAAACAAAACAAAACAAAACAAAACCAAAACAAAACAAAACACAAAACAAAAATGGATGGAGATGTAGCTCAGTGGTAGAGTTGCCAGAGGTTCAGTCCCCAGTACAACAAAATAAAACAAAAATCAAAACACACACACATGCACATATGTATGCACATACACAAGACTAACTTCAGAAAAACAACTTTGGGCTGGGGGTGTAGCTCAAGGTAGTGTCCTTTCCTTGCATATACAAGGCCCTGGGTTCAAACCCTAGCACTACAAAAACAATCCAAAAAACTCTTCCCATTATAACACAGTAGACACATCCTTTCCTTCCTTCCTTTTCAGTGTACCTTTACATGAAGCTCCATCCCTAGTTCCTTTTCAGAATTTTTATTTAAAAATTTTTTATTTTTAGATTTCACTGAGTTGCTCAGGCTGAGCTCGAGTTGGCAATCCTCCTATTTCAGCCTGCCAGAGTGCTGGGATTAAAGGCATATGTCATCACGCTTGGCCACTTTAGTTGTCTTACTGCCTTTCAGATATAGTTTTTATTTTCCTTCTACCAGAAGAGAAGGTGTGGTGAGGGAGGGTGGAACAGGAGGAAAGAGGGACAGGGATTGGTGGACTATCTAGTAGCTGCAAAATGAAAGCGCTTGGCTTGCTAAATGTTTTGACCTCCTATGGCCTCCACACTGAGGGCTATGAAGGCAGTTCTGGAGCGAACTGGGTCTCACCTTTGGAATGGGGGTCCTGTTTCTAGCTTCCAGTGGCGCCAGCCTTCTCTAGATGTGGATGTGGGGGACCCCAACCCTGATGTGGTCAGCTTCCGCTCTACCTGGACCAAGTACATTCAGGAGAACAAACAGAAATGGAAAGAACGGGCTGCGAGTGGTGGGTGCTATTAGGGGGGCCTGTGGACCTTGAGGGGGTGGCTACTTGAACAGTAGCTGGTTCCTTTTTTCTTAAAACCTGGGGCAACTCTTTGACTCTTCGTGTTGGGAATGGAGTCACTTAGATTAAAGTTAGGTCACAAGAAATGCTGACTAACTCAATAAGCTGGGCTGCTCCAGAATGGGGGCTGGATAGAGCATAGGGACAGCATAGGCAGCCACTGTGGTCTGTCTATGGTGTGGTTGGATAAACTGGTGGTTCTGGCTCCCCGTCCTTGGGGGTGAGGGTTGTTAGTTCTTGCAGGGTCAGAGAGGCTCTTCCAGCAGGGGTGGGTGGAATGGAGCTTGGCTTGGAAGGGCAATAGATGAGAATCCCCTGCTGTTCTTCATACACTCTTTGGTTCTGGGGAAGACACACCTTGGTCTGATCTCAGCTTCCTTGTCTCCTCTGCAGGCATCACCAACCAGATGTCTATTGATGAGCTGTCCCCCTGTGAAGAAGAGGCCCCACCCTCCCCTGCGGAAGATGAACACAACCAGAATGGGAATCTGGACTAGCCCGGGGCCGGCCCAGGTGAGCAGGTCATGGCCAGGAGAGTGGGCTGTGTCAACATGGCCGTCTCTGGCTGCAGATGTGAGGGTCTCTCCTGCTTTCTGTCCAGGCAGTAAACTGTAGGATGTGAAGGCAAAGATCTGAGATAGGGTGTGGGTGGGAAGCAGGGAAATCTTTTTCCCTCTTGGTCTCATAGACCCTGCAAGAAGCGATAGCAGCAGGCAAGATGGCACCTTCCTAGGCCTTGTGAGGGTGGGGAAAGTGCACACAAGCAGGGCACAAGGCTCGGGGGACCAGGTGAGTGTGGCTTCCACCTCAGCCCTGCTTGTGCCGTTGCCTGGCATGCTTCTTTCTGAGGGGCATTCTTTACAACTATATACGGGACTGAGTAGGGACCTGGCAGGACTTGGAGAAGATAGGCCAGGCTGGAGATGACAGCAGAGACCAGAGCTTTGAGCTTCTCTCTTTTTCCCCAGGTCCTCCCTGAGTCTGAAGTATCTGATGTCATTAGCACCATCCATTGGGACTGGCTCCCCCACCTGCTCCATGAAGAGACAACCCACCCGAAGGCCAAAAGCCAGAGAACACGGGGTTGAGGGAAGGGCCCCTCCCCACTGACACCCATTGGGGCGCACTTCAATTTCCTGACAGCAAGACCAGGAAACTTCAGGCTCCCAATGGTCACTGTGCCCACTTCCCTGTCTGTGGACACCCCTCCTGGCCTGATGGCTGCCTGGGAGAGGGGAGCTTTCTGAGGCTTCCCAGGGTTAAGGGGGAGGGTCAGAGATGCCAGCCCCCTGTGTCCTCCCCTATCCTTTTTGCCTCCAAGTTTCTAAGCAATACATTTTGGGGGTTCCCTCAGCCCCCCACCCCAGATCTTAGCTGGCAGGTCTGGGTTCCCTTTTTCCTCCCCTGGGAAGGGCTGGAAATGGGTAGAAAGCTGGGGTTTTTAAAGCCCTACATGTAGAGAGGGGAGGGGGTTCCCTCAGGGCATGGTTCCTTTCTAGAATAGGGTGGGGGTGAGTATCCCCATTACCTGATTTGCACTGCTTCGGCCCCACCTCCAGCCTGACTCCCTGCCATCTTTTCTCTCTCCCATGCTGAAATGGTGACTGGGGGAAGAGAGGAGCCATTGGGATCAGGTCCAAGGGGGGCCTTTCCTGGGGTCCTAGAGAACTTGGGGCTGGTCTGTGCTCCTGGGGCTTGTCACCTGCCCTAGCTGTCTCAGCCTGTTGCCTCTTTCTTCTCCCCTGGAGCTAGGCGAGGCTCCCATTCGACCAATGTCTGTAAGTGCTTTGAGGTCTCCCCAGCAAAAACCTTCAGGATGCATTTTATGAGCACAGGCGGGAAAGTCCAGCCAGGTCTGGGTCTCTGGTATATGGGGAGGGTAAGGTACAATTTCTATCCTGTTTTGCTAAAAGAGAGGGTTCTTTCCTGTCCCTTCCCCCTCCCAGAACTGGCTCAGCTGCAGGTACAAGAGACTCCCTGGGACAGTGGCTGGTAGAAGGCAGGCAGGGGAGGGGTGCAGGGCTCTGCGATTGGGACTTCTGGAGAAAGCCTAGCCAAGCTTGGTGCCCCTTCCTCTCAGGCTCCTCCTTGCTCCTACCTTGCCCTTGAAAGGCCAGAGTCCAGGTAACTGCCCCTTCCTCTCTTGTAAATACCAACCATGCATCTGTACAGTGAGCCCTGTTCTTGTGAAGTTCATACCCATAGCCCCCTGAACTTGTCCTGCCCACCCCACCCCAGTGGGGCAGAGACGCATGTGACTCCTGCCCTTGGTCTCCCAGGCCCCTGCTATAGCCAGAGATCAATAAAGAAGGGAGATTGGGCTGGCTGTGTCTGGTGTTCACTGGGGCAAGGTGACAGAGGATCTTCTTGTACACTGTCTTTCTAAAGCTGGATAAAATCTTGGTGAGGTTTATCCTGTGTGCAAGCCAAGGCTCCCAAAGGCCGGCACACAGTAGTAGATGCCAGGCAGGAGTAGGGCCTTACACTTCCTAGGACTGTTTTTCTCTGGGCCACGCTGTTGCTTTAGCAGAGAGGGTAGATGAAACTTCCCTTCCCTCCCTTCCTCTCTTCTACCTGGGAAAAATTAATGAATCAGGCAGGAGCGCTCGGGACATTTCACCTGTGCTTGATTTTTATCTTACCTTGGACTCTTAGTAAGTGGAACAGGGGGGAAGATGACCTTCTAGTTGCCAGAAAGGGCCTGTGATCAACCACTGTGCTCTCTTTCCCTTTATGCTAATGGTTTGGAAAAAGGGAGAAGGTTCTCAAACTGGCGGAGAAGACCCCCGATACTCCCCAACTCCACCATCATGGGCCAAAGGCCGGGGTGCATTTTCCTTTTTTCCCCAGAAGGTGGCGCCCATAGCATCATAACTGCCGGTGCAGGCTTTTAAGGGCTCCAAGTCATAAAGCTGTTAAGGCAGCCCTGCCAGGTCGCTGGACCTTTGCTCATTAAGAAGCAGAGAACCTGCAACCATCTTTCCTTGGCATCTTGGAGGTCAGTCCTCCCACCTGCCTGGCCCCCATTTCTTTCTGCAGCAGGTTAAGGCAAGGTCAGGGAAAAACCCTTTTGAAGTTTCTCCCCAGCAACCCTATTTCCTCCTTCCCAGAGGTAGCTGGGTAAGAGGGTTTCAGACGAGAGGAGGCAGAAAGGATTCTCCAAGTCTGGAAAGAAGGAAAGTGCCAAGGACCTAACACCAAATTTATCACTTTTTAAAAATGAGATTTTCCCCAAAAGTGAAGAGGTAAGAAACAGATCCAGTGTCCATGCATTCCCAATGCTGTTGTGATGCCAGGATGCCGCCTCCTTTCAAACCTGTTGTGGGAAAAGAACAGAAAGGGAAGGTGACAGAGCCGTCAGAGGTGCATTCATATCTCCCTGGTCTGCCCAACTATCCACCTCGTCAGGAAGCTCTGGAGTCAGTCTCCTCCACCCCTGGCCAGCCTATGTGGGGGAGTGAGGATTGTAAAATCAGAGCTCAGAGTAGCTCATCTGTCCTCCATCTCCAGGCAGGGCTATTGCCCACTAGCCTGGGCAGATGAGGCTCTCCCTTTGTGTTTCACTATTGGTGAAATGTCCTTCACCAATAAGTCCCCTGCTCAGGAGCCAGAGCTAACTTCAATCCCTTTCTGCTGCAGCTTGACCCCATTCTTCCAGGTTTATGTCCCAGGGAGATATGTCCCCTTCCCATAAGAATATCCCAGTGACAGAGCTGGACCTTTGTTTTGTTTTCTCTGATTCCAAGTATGAGTCCCTTGTCCTTATGAGCACAGGGCTGTCCTGCCAACCTGGTGGCCTAACCCTGGGGTCTTACCGAGTCGGCTCCCTGGGAGTCCAGGGGTGGTATATGGGATGTGGGTTCCTCTGTGCTAGGCTGCTTCCTGCTCCTCTCCTGAGTTTTAGGGATGGATCCTGCAGATTCTGGGAAGAAAAATGGGGGTATCACGGAGAGAACATTTATAAAGGCCTTGGAAAAAGGGATTGCTGCTGCTTACTGTACCCTGTGCCCAGTGACTCCTGAGAGAGACCCACGTGGGAGCAAGGTGGCAGGAACAACAGGGTTTCCTCTGATCACCGTTATTACTACAGACTTGCTACTTAAAACAAAAACAAAAACAAAACAAAACACTAGCCCGCATGTAAGGCTGTGAGGCCAGCTTCAGCATTCCTTTCCCTCCCTGATGATCACCAAGAACAGTGTTCAGATCCGATGGGAAAGGAAACTGGAGGGTCTAAGGTTTTTTTGAATTCATGGTGATCCTCCTGTCTCAGCCTGCCAAGGCCTGAGATAACAGGTGTTAGCCACCACACCTGACTGAGACTTGCTACTTTTTATCTGCATTCAGATACTGAAAAAAAAAGAGCTTCTAAAAACGTGGAAAAAATTGGGGTACACTGGTTATACCTGACCTGAAGTCTTTCTCCCACTCAGCCCATTCACCAGATTGTAGAATTATTAATGTGTTTGATTATAGAGTGCTCTGATATATATAGGATAGACAGTATATCACTTTCATAAAATTATCGACAAATTCTGAATTCAGGGACTGTGAACATGGATTAGAATCACCATCTCTACCAGATTCCATTTCTATCACACTTTATATCAGTGCTGCTGAACTAACTGCCAGACACCTTTTTTTCTTTTATGGTTTTTGTTTGTTTTTTAGACTTACTTTAATGACATAAGGACTCTCACAATCCCATTATCATTTTATAAACCCAGGTTAAGTTCAAGGCTAAGTGGCAAGTGGCAGAGTCAGGAACTTAGCCTGGGAGTGCTTTTCCCATGATGCTGGCTTCTCCCACACAGCCGCAGTTGAGACTTCTGGGGTCCCAGCTGGGATGGCTGAAGCCAGCAAGAAGAAGTGAAGGTTCAGATCCACGCAAGTCTGTCCATATCTCTGAACAGCCTTTTTATGACTTTAAGACTTCTCCCAGGCCCAACTCTACCTCTGCTCCCCAGTGTGTGTCTTGCCTTCTCCTGAGCTGGGGAACAGTGTCTGGGGCCCTTAAAGCCTGTACATACTCTGTGCTGTCCCCTGGACGCCCAGCCTTGACTCCGCTTCTGTGCCTGAGATCCCAGGTGGGCAGGGCTCCTGGGTCCCTGTGCTCTCCGTGGCTCCCTCAGGCTCCTCTCCCTGCTTCTGTTGCCCCAGGTGATGTTCAACCATTGTCTGGAGCTCTAGGAGCAGACAGAAAGGGAAGGAACACTGGACGTGACTACCTAGCCTCTCTCCATCCATCAACAGCCTGCTCGGGGGTTGGCACACACTGCTGGGCATTTGACTTTCCCATCCACTGAGATATGACAAGGAGGGACATTAGCTGGTAATAAGGAGGGACAAAAGCTAGACTGCAAAAAAGTTCTTTCAAAGGTAAGGGAGGCGTAGGGGAAGAATTGTGAAGAGTACTGTACCAGGTACTCCTGACTTGCTGGGATATGTGGTCTCCCCTGGGGACAGGAAAAGTTTCCATTTAGATTCAGGAAATATTTGAGTACCTTCTGCGGCTGTGCTGAATGCTGATGAGTTCACATACATTATTTATCTGCCATGATTAGGTGGTATTCAAGGCTGGGTGGGGTAGGCAGTTTCTGCCTAGCTGCTTGCAGGTTGGTCACAGAGCTGAGGTTCTAGCCCTATCATCGGGCAACAGCTGCATTCTGATAATAAGGGGTTTCAGGGACCACCCAAGTGACCTTCCCAAAGGGGCATCAGGTCTACTCAGCTTTAGGACTATAGAGAAAAAAGGGATGGGAGGGATCTTTCCAACCTTTCATTGTGGGTGTGGTCCTTGTCATCTTCTTCCGTTGCCGTGGAGACATTGCCAGAGTGGACTGTGGAGGACAAGAGGACAGATGGGTGTCAGCCGTTCCTGCCCTCCTCCTCTACCTTGCTGATTGCTTTTGGATTGGAGGCTGGGGCTTAAGAAAGATGAAGGAAGAAAATTCCTGCCCTCCAGACACTTTCATGGTGGTGGCAAGATTTATGTGTGTGTGTGTGTGTGTGTGTGTGTCTATGTGTATGTAGAGGGCTGTCCACTTGTGCCCTTGTGTCTTTTGGAGATGGGGTGCAGGGATGAGGGAGCCTACAGGTTGGGCACAGCTCTTTTTGATGTGTATGGAAGGTGCCGTTGAGGGGGGCAGCTTACCTTGAGAAGTGGGTTGGGGATCCGGTCTTCATCCACTTCTGAGGGGAACAGGGAAAGGAGAAGGCAGTAACGACAGGAAATCCAGAGTCCCAAAGAGCTGACTTCCTAAGCGGAAGGGACTGTACGATCCATTGCCTGGCTCCTGATCCCCTTGGGAAGTTGGCCCTCTGGTTGCCCCAGGCCCACCGGCTCCTGTTCCCCTCCTGTTCTGCTGGCTGGCCGCTCATCTTCTGCCTCCTGTCCTGTCCTTGGCTCTGGCCAATCTACAGCTGCATCCTCGCCCCTTCCTTGAGGTCTCTGAGGCAGAATCTGGAGACTTTCTGCTTCCTTTTTTTTCTCCCTCTGAAGTATCCATTTCTTTTTTTCCTTCCACCTATTCCCTTGTCCCAAGGCCAGAAGTGAGTCTGGCACAGGAGAGCTCATGACACGGAACAGTGCCAGGGTCCAGGCAGGCACAGTCATTTGCTGTAGGGAAGGGAAGCTGCAGACCCATCCTGAATTCCAGTCTAGCTTATTAACCTGGCCACCTTTCCTCCACATCCCTGTGAAGCTCCCTTGACATTCTCTGAGACCTTGTTCTTTCCCCAGACCTTGATTGGGACAGTGGTGACCACAATCCCAGCTGCTCCCTGAGCTGTTTCTAACCTCCCCTTTCTCTCTGGGGGCCATGAAGATCGCTGATGGAGGCAGTCCCTCCCTCTTGCAGCTGTCACTGCCTCTGGGGGTGGGGGCAGCGGGATCTCAGTTGCTGGAGAAACCTGGAAGGCTGTTGCTGCAGCAACCAGCACTCAACTCAGTTGACCGTCCGATTGCTGGGGGGCTTAGGAGTGGGATGATCCCCTCACCTTCTTAGCATTGTTCAATTTTTCTAAAAGCAAAAGAACTTCTGCCAATTCAAGTGGCTACGATTTTTGTTTTCAGGACTGAGGAGATTCCTAACTCCTTTCTGCCTGGCTTCTGCCAGCACCCCTCCGCTCTCATTGGGACTTTGCTGTTGGCAGAAGCTCCCACTTTCAACTGTGACCCACCCATTAGTTACCTGGAGATGACTGGTCACTGGTTAGCACAAGGGTGGCAGGTGTAGGACGGCGTCTCCGAATCTGGGTTGGGGTGGGAGAGGAAGAAGTCAGAGGTATGTGGAAGTATCTGTACAAGTCTCATCCAGTGCCCTGAGGTTACACAAGGGAGCCAGCCCACGTAACACACTTCAGAAATGCCATGTTACACTGGACCCACTGTTCTAGAGTGGATATCCTTGGGCTCATCTGTTCTTTATGAGAAGAGCTACTCCTGTCAATTCCAAAGACCATCGCTTCCTGCATGCCCCCTTCCTACTCCAGCTCTTCATCTCAGAGGCTTTATCTGCTTTAATGCATTGATCTCTGGCCTGCTGTCCTTCCGTCCATCATGGATCAATGGTCAGAAATAACCTGAGAGGGCACAGGGCTTTCCTTTGGCTGCCGTAGCCACCCCCTCTCAAGCAGACATTAACTCTTTGTAGCTCGGCAATCTGCAGATAACATCTTTGAAGCCCATCCAGCCCGGGGTGGGGGCAGCTCAAGTAAGGAATGTCTGAATGTGCCCATTGCTCCCTAAGGTCCTCCTGAGCTTTGGTCACACTGACTTTCTAATTGGGAAATCCCTGACATGGCAAATATAATACAAGGAAGAGCCTTAGGTAGGAAGGTGGCCAGGGCCTAAAAGTTAGCTGAAAAATCCTTACCCTGGGCTCCTGGTCCCATTCCCAGAGATTAACATGTGCAGCTGTGGAACTGCAGGGGCTTTGATCCCTGCCCCTGTGCCCCTCGTTCTTTTGTTCTGTAGCTGATAAAGCTGACTGTTGTTGAAGTCAGTCCAAGGACTTCTGGGATGTGTGGTTCTTTCTTTTCTCCACAAAGCTTGGGGTGGAAGAGTGTAGAACTCTTTGGGAGTTGGTGCCCCTGGAGCTCCCTCCAGGGCAGCAGTGGGCAGGAAAGGCTAATGAGGCCTAAAGGGGCAAAAGTTATAGAGGGCCCAGAAGAGTGGGGTAGGGATGCTAAATGATCAAATCTCTATCTTTGCATATCCATTGTTTAGCATAATCACCACTGGCATTGGAGGTTGGGAAACTGAGAAACACTGCCCTTCTCTATGCTAGAAAGTGGGTATCAGCTATAGTGAGAGATACTGTTTAAGCCAGAGAGGAATGTTCTCCACAAAGAAAAAATAGCATGGAAAAGTCAGAATGGGGGTATTTAAGGGTAGGGCACTGTTCCAGGAGAATCCAATGACATCTGTTTTGAGTGACATTTCAGGTCCCCCCCAGTGTCCACCTTGTATTTCTGTGCACAGGCACGTGCTGCACGAATATTAACTGTGAGTTGTCTGGCTATCCCTGGTGCACAGATGGCGGCCTGGCACTTGTGCTTCACACATGTGGGGGTAGGGTCATCTCTTTTGGAGGAGAGGACTCCTCCTCTATCTCTCTCCTGCCTTATTTGGGGAGTAGTGGCCCTACAAAGTGGAAGAGACAGCATTAGGTGGGATGGGGAAAAGGGGGTGGGATAACATCTGAACTGGGACCCCAAGGAAACTTCAAGTATGATAAAAACAAACTCTGAGAGGGAAGCAGCGCTCTGTGATCTTGCAAAGGTTTCTTGCTTAATCTGGTTCTTTGCCTTGGACAAGATTTGGAAGCATGCAGAGTTCTCGAGAACTGTGATATCCTATAGCAGGAGGGAGGGAAGTCAGACTTGCTGAGCCACCTCCCAGGCCCCTGAACTAGTAGTAGAGTCTCTTCCTTTTTATATCTATCCTAAATTCTAGCTCTCAAGGACACTTGGTGCCTTCACTTCTGATTTATTTCTAAATCAGCCATGCCAAGGATCTGGTGGTTCTGAGCATCCTTCTAGCCCTGCCACTCTGCTCCGTAATGCAGGCCTTCGCCTCCTTTCACCTTCCCCTGTGGGTCTAGGTTAGGAGCTCCTGCCAAGCCTGGAGCTTTTTTGCCTACATACTTGGTAACACAGCAGGAAGGGCTGAGGCTGGGCTGCAGGTAGAATTTTAGGCAGAGAAGATGCCAATTTCTGAAGATTACAGAAAAGCAGGCCCAAGTCCCAGCTCTTTTTTGCTTCTGGCTCCTTAGCACCCTCTGCCCCCACAGGTCCCCAAAGCAGCTGGCTGGCAACCTCCTCCCTATAACCAAAACACACCTACTGTACCTGCCTCCTGCAACACCAAACAGAAGCAGGTGTCCAGCCCTATTTGTGCCAGTGGGTGGTAGTTCCCCTCGGAGCCTCCAGCCCCCACAGTTTTTGGATCCTGTTTCCACAGTCAGAAGTTACCTTTGTCTGTCTCTTGTCTCTGGAAAGACAGAGAAGCCTTTCCCCTGACCCCAAGAACACCTCCATGAGAAGGGCTCTTCATCCTCCTCACACTGTATGAGGCAGGCAGTCACATTTTAGAGGTCTGGAGGTGGCACTCACTCCAAACCAGGGAGAGGTGGGAAACAGGCATCTTCCCCAACCTCTGCCTTGGAAAGCTAGTTACAGAAAGGACCTGCCCTTTCCCTTCACACCCAGACCTTATTCTAACCAAACAGCTGGAGGAAAAAAAAACCAATCTGCCATCTCAAGAGGTTACCAGGCTGTCCAGTTGTGGAAGCCCAGGCAGAGCCTGCTGGGCTGGTGTTTGTGTGGGGACCCAGCACTGACCTTGTGGGATCTGGGGGCTGGGTAGGAATGGGAAGGTCTAGGAGAACAGAAAATACAAAAAGAGACGGAGCAATGGGTAAATACGCAAATGTTTGGCAAACAGGCAGTAGGTAGTAACCCTCTCCACACGCTCACTCTCACTGAAACACACACTGCTCACACACTCACACATTGCTGCCTCTGCCAGGCGGCTTGGAGCTAAAAATAGGCCAGGCCGGGAGGCTGGGCCATTGCCCTGGACTCCCACCCATGAGCCAAGGCTCTCACAGTGCCTTGCAGATCACTCAGCTTGGACCCCCGTCCCTGGACAGCTTCCCCTCTGGGCCCCCAGTGTCATTCTCTCCATCCCGCACCCACGCCCCACTCCAAAGGGCAGGAGTTGGGAATCAGTATCCACGTGTTCAGACTTGCAGGGAAAGGGAGCCTGAGGTCCGCAGACCCCACCGCTCCTCTCCCCAAGCCCCAGGCCTCTCGGTTGGCCTCAGCCCCTTCTTGTTACCACTCCCGAGAGCCAGGTAAGGGGCGCCTCTAGGTGGGAGGGGACAAGGAGAGCAGGTTCTGCTCTTCCAACTCCCACAGCACCAAGCTTCCCCCCATCACCGACCCCCACCCAGCCCTCCCTTCAGCGCCTCCACGCGGCTCAGAACTCGGCGGGGGCCGCCTGGGTGGAGCAGGCGAGCTTGCTGACGGGGGGAGGGGTCGTGTCCTCAGGCAGGCGGCTCCCTTCCCCAGAGCTGGGGCGCAGTGAGCGACCCTCTCAGGGGACAGACATCGCACGGACACACTTGTCCTTTGGTCGATCTCAAAGAAGCAGATGAGCCCTGACGGTGGGGGAGGGGTCAGAAGACCCCCACCCCCACAAGAGGAGCACAAACGTCCTCAAAAGGGCGCCCCGCCGAGGAAGGACAGGGCGGAGATCCCGGGTCCCGCCAGCCCAGGCAGGGGTCGCCCGTCCCTGCTAGGAGAGTCCCCTGCCGCCCCGCCCCGCCCCGCCCCGCCCCGCACCTGCTCGGCGGCCTCGGGGTCAAGGTGCGGCTCGAGCAGCGGCACGGTGAACTGGATCTTGCGGGGGCTGTTGTCCTGCTCCATGGCTGGGGCGCCGCGGCGGCGGAGCGAAGGCGGCGGGACTGGGGGCTGGGGCGGGCGCGCTCCCTCTCCCTCCGCTCCGGCCCCGGCCCCAGCCCGGCGCGCTGGGCTCGCGGCTCCGGGCTCGGCGCTCCCGGCTCGCGGCTCCGGGACTCTGCGGCCGCCGATTGGCTCTGCGCCGCCCCTCCCGGCCCCCTCCCTTCCCCCGCCCGGAACCTTAACCCCGTCGTGACTGCGCCGGGGCCGCGGGGGTCACCGCCCCCGGGTGAGCCAGCCCGAGCTTGGCTGGGTCTCTGTCCGGGTGAGAGTCCGGGCCGATGTCCAGGTACCCTCGGACTTCTGGGCAGGAAGTGGGTTAGGGTGCGGTTACCAAGAACTTCTCCGAGCTGGGATTAGGGGCTGGCACGGTGGAGGGTCGCTAGGGAAGAGGAAGCAGCAGACCCAAGAGGAGAATTTCGTGTATGACCTAACAGGGGTGGCCACATAGAGGACAGATGGAAAGGACAGTTAGGCATGCAGCAGGAGAAATTCTGGTCAGACTCGGAGAGGGACTTTTCCTTGAAAAGAAAACCTTGGAGTGGAGGAGAAAGTAGTCCAGGTTTTGCAGTTCATGGGCAGGGAAAGGAAGCTGAGGCCTCAGGGTCTCCGGAGGGAAACCTCTCTTCAAATACTAGGGAGTGTGGGTGGAGGGCTTGGGGAGAAGGGACCATCTGGGGCTCGGCAGAAGGAATAATGGGGGTGGGGAGCCAGTAATGCTTGTGAAATAGATTTCGCTTTCAGCTTGCTAAATTTATGGAGATTGTAAAGTAGGCGAAAGGCTTATGGGTGGGAGAACGCTGGGGGACCGAGAGGAAGCTCCTTTGATGGGGTGGCTTGTTTATACTTGGAGCTGGTTTCCAGTTTCACTGTTGGCAGAAAAGGAAAATGATCTGCTGTAACCGAAGGCATGGAAGTTAGACTATGTGAAGAACTTACTGGTTTGATGTAGGACCAAGATGTCAGTCAGCACAGCCAGTGAGGGGATAGGATATTCATGTGAGCTGGTGTGCCCTGTGCTAGGGCCTGGGGATCTGGGCAGAGGGGAGGGAGGTGCTGGGTACCTGGGGAGGAGCAGGGCTGGTTACAAGCTTGGGGGGAGGAGAAACACAGAAGGAGAGACAGGGACTGCTGGGATTGGGACAGGGGCCAGGCCAGGAGGTAAACTGTGAACTAAGCCACTGGCAAGTTCCTTACAGGTTTATGATGGGCTCTCTGGGACCCTCATGATCATCCTCTCCTCCAAGGGGTTGGCTTCAAATCTCAGTTGCCCATTATCCTGGCTTGAACTTCGCAGGGTCCTTTCCCCTCTTACCTCCCAAAATAACTTCTCCTGCCCTCTTGCCTCAGCAGGATCTCTTTACACTGGGCAGGCTCAGTTTTCTCAAGGCAGAGGTATGGTTATAGGGACCCAGGGGACCCTGAAGGCTGGTCTAGCCAGTGGGGCTCCATTTGTGTTTTAATTGGTCTGAGTTTGGTGGTTACTCAGGCTCCAGGAAGGCTTCCCTACATGAAGCCCACAACTGGAGGACCCCATTTGCCCTGTTTGGGCAGCAGGAATGGCCCCCAAACAGTTGCCTAGGTTTCCCAGTTCCCTTTATCCCCAACATGAACAGCAGAAGGAAAGGCTGTGCAGGCACTGAAGCTGAGGGAGGGCGATAGACCCCATACAGCCCAGGTGCTTGCTCCATTCTCCTCGTGTTTTCCACAGAACACAGAGCAGGACCCAAAGTATTCTCTCAATCAGTCTTTTCCCTAACCTGTTCTAACAGGACCATGGGACTTGACCATGGGACTATGGGATTGTCACGTCCCTATCTCCAGGGCCTTAGGGTCCTGTCCCTGTGCCTCAGTCCCATTTAAAAATGGCCAGAATTACAAAATGCCTTCTGAGGTTGAGTGTCCTCTGAGGGTGATAGCTAGCACTTGATTGATAACTATAAATGTATTGCTTCCTGCAGGATTGTGGAATTAGAGGAGTCACCTCTGTAGGCGCTCATGAGAAGGTCCCCCTACTCCTACTGGCTCTCGCACATGAGAAGGTTCCCCTACTCCTACTGGCTCTCCCAGCTTGCCCAAGTGTCTTTCATGTTCCCTGCTTTCCCTGCATCTTTGGTCTGGCCATCCAAATGCTTCCCAAAGGCGCATACCCACCCTTCATGTTACCCCCTCAAGTCCTGGATTCTCAGACTCTCTTGTCCTGAAAACTACATGTTAAGAGAAGGGCTAAGAGAACTCAGGCTTGGAGAGACTGTCATGGAAAGGCTTCCTGAGAAGAGGGGTGTGGAAGCAGCCAGTGCTGGGTAGAAGCAGAAGAGAAGAGAACAAGGAAGGAGGGAAAAAGAGATGGGGAAGAGAGGACCCAGTTGGAGAAAGCATGTGGAGGAAGCAGTTGGAGAGCAGAGAAGTGGAGTGTGGCTGAGTGTAGGCTTCATTTCAGGTGGGCTGAGTGGGTCTGTCTGTGAAGATGTGTGTGTGTCACTCTGACCTTTATTTATGCCCAGAGCTCGGTGAGTAACTGTGAGTGCCTTCTGGGCATGTGGGTGTAAGCAGGCGTGGGCTGCTCACTCACAGGGCTGGGAGGTGCAGGGTGTCTGTCATACGCTCTTGGAACCCAGCTCACATTTTCTACATGAGATGTGCTCAGCTCCAGCCCAGGCCCCACAGCAGCAGCTGTTCTGTGCATACGTCCGGGTTCATGAATATTTAAGGTTACTGGGATGTGATTTGGTGATGCAGTCACGTAACAACCGCTCCCACTCTGCCCTGCTGTCTGTGCTGGACTCTGGGTTAATGGGGCTGCTTTTAGTTGCTGGACACTTTTTGCTCTTATTTTTCATCCTCCTCACCCCCATCAGCCTCCTTGTGATTTAATTCACTAATCCTGATAATCCAAGAGGGTAGGTGGGTACTGATATATTTAATACACTTCTCAAGTGCAGGTGCAGAGAGGTGTTGCTGAGATGGGCCACCTGGTTTAGGATTTAGGAGGTCAGATTCAAGATCTCCCTCTGCTACCAATTCCCTGGGTGACTGTGGAATCACCTCCATCCTGTATCCCACATGAGGCTCAGTTTTCTAGTCTCCAAAATGAAAGGGACCTGGTGTTCTACAGATCTAATATTCTGTGAGTTAAGGGTGTACCAGTTGTATAGCCAGGAAATTTCAGAATCAGGGTTGGAACCCAGGAAGAAGCATCTTACCTCTCTCTCTCTGCATCTTTCCTGGCCTGGCTGCTATGCTAGAGGCAAGCTCCTGCACAGTTACTATATGATGCTTGCACACGCAACTCTGATGAGGTAGGGCTAGAGACTGCTTTTAAACCTCAAAGGAGCAATGACCCCTTTCAAGTGGTCCTCTAGGAAGCCATATGCTCATTCCAATGTGCTGCTATTTCTCCAACGTTTCTGGAAACTCTTTTGGAATCATCTCAAAACTTGTGGCATATGCTCTAAAAATCCTTGGAGGGAGTACATCTTGCATTTTGCTTCTTGAAAATGACAGTCTTTAGTCATCAAGCCTTGGGAAGAAGGAGGGAGGTCAGGCTAGGAGCAGGTCTTGACCTGAAAGGTTAAGTTCCCTCCAGCGATATTATGTGTCCCACAGGGCTCCCAAGGCTTCTCTGCTAGAGAAACCGCAGAGTTTTCTGTAATCCCCAGAAGCACCTTCAAGATAGATGCGTGTCCTCTTGTGGATTGAAAGACTAGTGGGTAGGGCCTGTTTGCTGTGAGAAAGACCATCACTGCAATTCTGCTGGGCTCCACTACAATTCTCTGCTGCCAGTACTCTTGGGGCCAGAGCTGCTGATTCAAAGTCAGGGGATGCTGATTTCCAAAAGGCTTAGCTTCTTCACCAACTTTAAAACCACTGGGTTGAGATCAAAGAGACTTAGTGATCAGCCAGAAGTCTTGAGAATGAACCATGCCATCCCTTTCTCCAGAATGCCAGATTTGGTGACTATAGCAGGACAGCGGCTGGACCTGAAGCAAAACGTGGACGGGAAGAACTTCTGAAATTCATTTGAACCCTCTGGTCATCAACAGTCAAGAAGTTCCAATCCCTAGCTCACCTCTAGTCAGCTCCTTCTGTTCCCAACAATCTAACAGCTTGAATTTACTCTTTCAACAAATATTGGGTATTCCTACATGCCAGGCTTTATGCTGGGAAATACACAACAGATACAATTTCTATCTACTGATAGCTTTCAGCCTACCAGGAGCCAGGGGGAGTGATAGGGTGGCCAAGTAATTACCAGCCAGGAGAATGACAGAAGTGGAAGTGCAGGATGCTGTGGGATAAGGGGCAGCAGGAAGAAGGAAGGAGATCAGTGTGACCTGAGGCCTCTCAGACCTGCTGCTCCTCCTGTACACCAGATTCTCTCTGCAGAGTCTCAGCTAGCTGATGGCTCTGTGACCCTGGACACAGTTGTTTAACCTCTCTAACTTCTCAGAGCCTTGATTTCCTCTGCCTCAAAACTGGCTTAACAATAGGCACTATCCCTGTTATATATAGTGAGGAGTGGGATGAGGTAATGCTTCCAAACTTGCAAATGTTGCTTCCTTTGGCTCTTAAAAAAAGCAGGGATGAAGCTGGGGATTTCAGTGCTTTCAGAATCTGAGGAAAGTGTCTGCAGGGGACATCCCTGCATCTGGTTAGTTGGCTTCTGCTTCTCCCTTCTCTGGCGGGATCAACATTCTTGATGTCCAGCTGTGTCCTAGTCAGCATGGGCCATCACCCTGCCCTGCTAATTAACTCCACCCTGTTAATGATTAAATCTAACGACTTTGACTGGGGGGTAGGAGGATGGAAAATTCCTCAGCCATAGGACAGGGTAAGGGTAAGTTGTCCTGAGCCCGAGGGGAAGGACCCCCTGGGCTCTGGTCATGTTTATGTAGGTGGCCTGGGAGCAGGTGCCAGGTTTTTTTTCTGGGTCTGCTTGGCAGGGGAGCATGGCTGGAGGAGGGGTCATTTGAAAGTAATAGCTCTGCAGTCCTTCTGGGCTTGGCAAGCTCGTGGAGGACACCACTGGGGCCCCAGACCTATGGGGTCCCCAGACCTAGCCAGGGCTTGCATTCTGCTTGGCAGTGGTTGGCTATTGGCTGCTGCTGTGGTTGGAGGGACACGGTAGA